GGGCCTGGCAGCTTACCAACACGGAGAGCTTCGGGTTGCCTAGCCCCTCTCTGCCGTACTCACAACTGGAACCGATTTGCACGCACACAGGAGGAGGGGGGCAGCGTGTCTGCAGCTCATGGCCAACAGTCGAGCGGATCAAGGAACACAGCTTGTACCAGCACGGCTCCTTGTCGCTGATCCGCCGGCGGGTGTGCAATACACCCGTCCTTGGGAGAGAAACAGCAGAAAGGACAGAAGTATCTCTGCTCTGCCAAGACAATGAAACAGCATCCTCAGCATAAGAACTGCACAGAATCTTACTGCTTAAAACCAAGGTTTACCCAGGAATGGATATTCCCCCCAGCAGGTAACACGGCAGCAGCCTAACACCCACCTGAGGCGCTCGAGTCAGGGACTTGCACGGCACCATCTGGCTTTGCCATCAAGCTGCTCGGGCTGTGCGAAGGAACCTCAGAATTCCAGATGTTCTCTGCCTGGGCCCGGAGTTTTCTCTATCCCAGGTGTGTGGTAAGCTTGGGACCTGAGCCCGAGTACGCTGTTGGGCTGTAGAGGGAAAATCTCCCTCTTGTACAGGCACTGATCCGGTTTCATCTTCCTCCTGCTGATGTGGCACAGAGCCTGGAGACAGCCTGCTTGTGCCACCTAGCCCCTGTGACTGGAAAGAGGTATTCCCAAGAAAACAGCCACGTACCTCAGAAGAGCCTCCCCGGGAGGTTACCTAACCCAGCCCTGCCTCGGCAGACCAGGAACGTTCAGCAGAGCTGCTTTCCAACCACCCAAACCAAACTCAGCGCTGGAAGATTTCACGTGCCCCCAAGCAGTCTATTCCCAAGAGATCTTTTCCACGCTTAATCAACAGCTTCCCTGTGGTAGCTTGTGCCCTGTATTGGCTGCCTGTCCTCACTGATAGGGGATGATTCCCCCTTGTTTGAACACTCCCTCGTTTTCCTCTTTCCATGGAAAAAGCCCAGTGTTTCCGTATCTTTCCATAAAATGGAACATTCCCTAGCTGTTTGTTTACCATGCTGCTGCCCTTGCCAACATCTCCCTGGAGTTATAGCGCCCAAGGCTGCCCTACTGTGTCCCCGCTCCCCCCCATCGGCACCATGACCCACCTGAACTACTCTCCCAGGCTAATTTAAAACTGCACCCAAAACACCACATATTGAGAAACAAAACCTCAGCAAAAGCAAACATGGAGTACTTCAACAGGCAATTTCACACATACCAAAGCAATTTTCTCCTAAAAATTGTTAGTTGGGTTAAAAAAAGGCAGCCTGGCATGTAAAACCCAGCAGCTCTAAGTGCAGGCCAACAAGAGACCTTCAGGCATGCCGTGTTTCTCCCAGGACCTGGGAACCCGTTGGCACAGCGCTCCAACAATCGATCAGTCCTACGATAATTTGGCAGGCGCCTCGGAGCAGCCAGTTTTTCTGGGAGCGGTAATGCCTACAGAAACCCGTATCTCCTGCGTGAGTGCTGCTCTCCTAAGGCTCCGGTGACACGGGCACCCCGAGTAAACCCGGGAGCTGCTGGGGAGCCCCGTCCCGACAAAAGCAGGGGGGAGGTCAATAAAGAGCACACACAGGACCGTTCAGGAAGGCTGGACACAACCGGTCAGGTTTATTATTAACCAAAAGTGAAGCTGAACCCCAGAGGGGTTGAACTTTTAAAACCACGTTTATATGGCAGGGATTTTGCTTTCACGTTCACCATTGTAGTGCAAGAACCAAACTTGGCAAGCTGTTCGTCCTCCGAGAACCAAGTACTAAAGGTAAAGTGAATTAAAACCAGGGTCCCCCAACGAACCAATTAATAAACCATTTAACTGAACAGACCCATCTCCAGAACTGTCTCAGGAAATTCTCCCAAGTGAAAGACCTTTAAAAGCACTTGGAGCCTTGAGGTAGCAACTTGATGCAGAATTTAATCCCCCTCCTGCCCCGCGGGGCAGAGGACAATTAGTAGCGCATTAGTAGCTCCAGCCAAGCGGAGTCGCGTGTTCTCCGGTGAGGTTAGTGACTCGCTCCTGCATCTCAAGCGGCAGAGCTGCCCTCGGGAGGAAATCCACAAGGAAGGCCTCTTGAAACAAAACGTGTGCCTTGGAAAAAGTGAAAGTGATCCGCAGTAACTGTAACCACAGGTATCTGGAGTGAAAACCACCAAGGGTTGTGTGTGGGCAAGGCCAGCTCACAGATCCAGGTCAGGATCCGCCTTCAGCCAGCGGGAAAGATGACTGGAAGTGACATTCAAAGGGGTCTGGGGGCTTTTCCCTCCGTGCAAAAGCGCACTTTGGTTTTAAAGTTTTAAGGTTTGCCCTTTTTGTTTCTAAAAGGAGCGCCCTCTGGCCCTTTTCAGTACTTGTACGTTGTGAAACCTGTGCCGCCGCGGAGCGGAAATATCCTTGCAGGGGTCTGACCGCCAGACGCTCCCCTCGCTGAATTCACCACAGTCGCAAGCGGGGCATCGCTAACGCAACCACCTTCCCCCCCGAGTCTCAGACACCACCCCCTCTGCCCAGTCTGCCGCTGAGTTTTTAATCAAAAACTGGAGCTCTACGCCAGTTTCAGAGACGCCGCGGTGGAGTTACTGACAGACGAGCCGTAACAGCAAAACGACCCCCGGCTCGGTCTCGTGACGATGGCACGAGCCGAGACACGGCGACGCGGCAGATGCCTCGCCTCCCTCCCTCGTCTTGGTATCGCCACGCGGCCTCCGACTCTGCTCGCTGCGGTGCCCTACCCAGACACCTGGCGATGCTGAGGAGCGTACTGCAAGCTTCCCTCCCTACCTGCAGGCTCCAAAACCGTACAGCCAGGTTGGTCAAACCAGACCAACGTTGCAAATCACAGCTCTGAAGTGGACGAGCCTTCTTACGGGCTGGCTGTCTTTCAGCTCAAGGTCAGGCTGCCTCTACGCCGCCCAGCCATGCCGCACGGGTCTGCATCAGAACGGCCTTGCCCAGTGTGCCTCTGCTTCGGGAGCCTAGAGAAAGGTCGAGAGCTTGCTCTTGCTAACCTGGGATCCCAATCTTTGATTTTACATGCCCATTCTTCCCTTTGACTTCCAGAAGCCACCAGATCCTCCCTTCCAGGCAGAATTACCTCAAGAACCTAACATCAGCCGTGCCTGGTTTTTGGTTAAGCTCCAGGACAATTGCCAGCGTTTGCATCTGCTGAGGGAGAGTCCTGTCCTGCGGGAACCCAGTCCGCCCGCAAGGCAGCCCAGCCCACCAGGCTGCTCTGGAGAAAGGAGAGGGTATCCTGCCGGGAGCAACACAGGCCAGCTGATGGTTATTCACGACGAGTCTCTCTTCAGTTCCCGAGATGGTTCAGGCAGCGCAAGCCCAGTGTTTTAGAGCCCAGTCTATGCTGCTTCGCAAGGTGGTCACGGGCCGGCTTCAGAGACTCTTGTCTTGGAGCCCAAAGTATCCTAACGTTCTATCCATTATCGATGCAAGGACCTGGGGGGGTGGGGAGGACATTTTTTTCTTGGTTTTGTTCGTACATTTCTGTTTGGTTTTGTTTGGCTTAACTCTGTGATCAAAAGAGTGATTTTGTCTTTGGTGTCAGAACTTGGAAGCATGAATGAAGTACCTGCTGCTGCTCTGGCTGTGACTTACAACAAACACCAGCCCCGTCAAGCAAGGGAAATCCACTGTCCTAAAACACATGCAGTTAGAACAGCCACTAGACATCACAACCAGGACTTTAATAATCCGGGAACACCCAGCTCAGTGGTGTCCACTACGAATCATTCGCGTTATATAAAAATATGACTCCCATTACAGTAACTGGACAACGGCCATTCAAACGTATCGAGTTTCCATCTTACTCCTACTGTGGGAACTGGAAGGAGCTCATCCATTTAGGGGAAAAAAAATTGCCCAGACATCAACTCAGAGTTGCAGCTACCCATCTCGTGCCTTAGAGAAATGTCCACTGTGACAGCTAGAAGCAGGAACTTGCCATCAGCATCCCTCTATTCCTGCTCACGTGGCCACGAGCAGGAAGAGCAGGCTCTGTTACGCTACCATCCACAACTAGAACTTCCTAACTCCATAAAACACCAGTAAGTTTTGCATGAGCTGCAGGGGAATGCAAATTCAGAGGGTCACTAGATTTATTACCTACAAATCCAATGTCTTCATATAAATATTCTGCGTGTACACCACAAAAATGTCCTTCTTGTGGTCTGATTCTCGTTTGGGTAATACTCTGATAAAATCTCCACGGTGGGCCAAGTCAGGTCATTAAAGCTGTAGAAATAGAGTCTACCTAATAAATGCTGCAACTTCAACAGGTATTTCAGATAAACATCATTAGCTCAGTTATCACCTAAACCAAAACGACTCCTCAAACACACCAGATAGCAAAGACGTTTGCTTTACACAGTCAAATGCTGCCAACTTGGGAAAGGTTTAGCGAATCACCGTGGTATCTGGAAGCATCCAAGTGCCCAGTGCAGTCAGAATACTGTGAAATGTCAGGACTGGGGGGAGCTCCTGTAAACAACTACAGGAGTCTTTGTCTGAATTACAAAACATTCACCTCCTCAAAAACCTTTAAAGCCAAACCAGGCAACAAGATCTCGCGGTATGAAGGGTCTCCGCAAGCAAGAGGAGGTCAGATGTTGTGATCTCACCGTGGTAAAACGCACTCGGTGTCAGGGACAAGGAGCAGATCTGGAGAGATCACAATTATGACGCCTTCAGGCCATTTGATCTGAACCACTGCACTAGTTTTGGGCAGCATAGAGTAAAACAACTTTCTTTGCTGCTCAGAAAACACTTAAAACACAATAACGCTTCATTTTCTGCATTTTGTTGCTAAGCAGGCTCTCCCATGTCCCCAGCTCGGTTCACTTGGTTTCAAGAGCTACAGTACCTGCCGCTTTCAGCAGGTGGAAGAAAACTTCAGTGCCACCTTGTCGGCCCCATTGATACTTTAACTTCACACCCAGATGCTGCAGCTAAAAGCAAATTGGACGTCGTGTAAGGAAAGCAGCGGATGAAAGCAGTAAGCCCGTCAAAGGCTCGTGTTCCACAGGCTGCCTCTACAGAACAGGCATCCTCCCGCCACGGAATCGGATCTGAAACTGTATCCCAACGGTAACCCCAGAAAGAAGGAGGCTTCATCTCGCACGCTTTGGGTTTCGTATCAGGCACTTGAACTGCTGGACAGATGCCATTCGGAACCGAGTATGTGAGCACAGGGTTAGGATCATCGTTAATCTAGGTCTAATCAGCAGCAAAGAGGAGGCAGGGAGTGAGCAATCCGTCTGTGCTGAGACTTGTCTATGGTTTCTAAAATGCCCAAGAAGACAGCAGCAGTTACTGTTCCGTAGTGTCCGTTTTCCTTGTGAGTTGTGTTGCTGATAGGAGGCTTTTCTGTGTCTTGATCTAAGGCGGCATTGAGGTACCCTGTGCCTAATTCCCTGGATCCAACAGGTCCATGCTAGAGCCAAACATTGCCACCAGCTGCTCCTTATAGTGTGTTATATTCCTCTTGATAATGTTCATGCAGGGTCCAAGCAACCTCTCAAATGCTTGCACATCCATGACTGCAAAGGAACACAAGTGAAAAACAACATCATTCGCCAAAAGGGACACCACACGCCGGTTTACCTGTCGGCACACACCTCCAGCCCGACCCACTCGGGTTTGAGTTTTCCCTCCGCACCGCTCTCTGGAGAAACAGGATTAACGAGTGACGCAGCTGACCTCAAGGATAAGCACAGAACCTGAACAGACACCACACAAGATCTGCCGAGAGCTGTGACCCACAAGCTGCACGCAAGCAGCTGACGGTACCCACCCCGCAAGGGACACAGGCCACATGAGCAGAAACACAGGTTCTGCGGGAAGGCAGCAGCGGTGCTTCCCGAACGTCAGCGTGGAGCTCTGCTCCGGCCCACGCTCCGAGCTTCCCCCTTACCAACGGGCTGGGGGTTTGACCAGCTGCTCACAGCCCACAAAACACGCCAAGACCAGAGGAGAGTAACCAGAAACTAACACCTGCTTACCTAAACACTTGACCTCCCCAACGGCATAGGCAGAGGCTGCTCTGGGTTTGTTGGTAACGAGTGCGAGCTCCCCAAAATACTGCCCTCTGTGGCACCGGGCAATCTCCACTTCTTGGTTAGCTTCTTTACTGGTCATGGTCTGTTGGACGGCACATCCGGGTTATCGCATGCAGTTCTGCCTTTCTACGAGGCTGCACTTCATCCCCGATCTCTTACCGACGCGCAGCAGCGCACTGGCTCAGGACCTTTAGCCTACCAAGTCCCAAGTCTCTGCGCTGGCAGAAGACCTCAGTGGCACGTTCCATCGGGAGTTGGGCAAGAGAAGTGCGTGCCAGCCCACAGGGTCTCAGACTGGCAGATATTTACTGCTACAGCTTTGGGAACAGCTCTTACTTGGCCTAGCACGGTTTTACCATGCACAGCGTGGTTCCCAAAGGCTGCTGCAGGCTGCACAGAGGTCCGTGCCAGTGCCAACGACTGGTGTGTCACTACCGGCAGTGGGCCCCAGGCTTTCAAAGCTGCAGTTTCCTATAATCCCACTGAAAAGTTTCCCCCCCACCCCTAAGGCCAGGGAGAACGTTATCGGGTTAGCTTGCAGAGGAATAATCCCACTGAAAAGTTTCCCCCCACCCCCGTAAGGCCAGGGAGAACGTATCGGGTTAGCTTGCAGAGGAGCGGTCGCAAGACCTTCCAACTTCACTGAAGTGACTTCTGGACACTTCAGAACAAATAAGGGGATTTACAGCCCACGTCACACGGGTGACGATGACAGACATAAAATAATACCTTAAAATAAGTCAGGGCAGGCTTTTTCACACCATGTGTATCAATTGAGCAAACTGACCTGAAGCCAAACCACCCAGCTTGAACTCACCTTGCTTTTAATCAAGATTTTTACTTCTCCAGATTCTACAATGTAGAAACAATCTGCTTTATCACCCTGTGAAGAGGAAAAGGGAAAACAGATAATTTCTTGGTTTACTGCAAAGGTACCTATAAACGGCATTAAAGCATTCCCTCTGAACTAGGCCCTGAGCAGAAATCTGCTAGTGTGAAAGAGGGTGGAGAGGGGAAGCGTGGCATTGGGTCCGGGCAAGGAGACGACGAAGGCGACGGGAAGGATGGCAAGAGAGGGTTACCACTTGAGTACGAAACGGGCTGGGAGAAGACGCACACGGGCTGAGCACGGAGTTTCAGAAGTCAGGCCCTTAGCTCGGCACCCCGGGGATGGTGGCAAACCATCCAGCCCCAAGCTGCTCCTTCGCTGTCACCGGCTCCCGCAGCACATGCCGGAACGGGTCAGTACTGAGAGCACTTGTTTGGCAGCATGAGAACAGAGTGGGAGACGCCCTCCTAACACCAGCTGGCACTAATAGTTTTTGGGTGCCTTTAACCGCCAGCTCAAATCCCAGGAGGATCATTAAAATGTGAAATTATCCATGAGAACAAAGGGGTTCATGGCACTGATCCAACTGCTGCCGTGTAGGAGCCATCACACCTTTCACAGGCAGAACCTTTCACCACCTTCAGTGGTGTATTACCATCACCCAGACTATTAATCCTCCGCCTAAGGGTAATTAACATCCTAGTCCTTAATTCAGCTATTACACAAGATTAGAGCCGAGTGCACACTTGGATCACTGGCTGCGCGTGTTCCCAGTTTGGAGACCAACTGATAAACCTGCATTTTGCCCAGAGTTCAATCTCCTCGGAGTCTTAAGGTTTAACTCACAGAATTGAGGGCATTTTCGGAGGGAAATAATTCAGCAGCATTTGGTTATCAGCAAACGAGGGTTGAGTTATCTAACACTCGAGGCAATTAAGACTAATTATTCAGACACTACCAAGGAGTCATGTTCTGTTCATAAAACAAGACGGGGGTTGTGATCAAAAGCCTGCAGTTTCAGGTAAGCCAAGGACTTCCTTGCATCAACGTCGACACGAACTACAGCACTTTTGCAGCTAACAAAGCAACCCCGAGCTCAACTTGGGGCAAAACTCCCGTGTTTCAGCAGCAGCAGTGTTCCAGAAAGTCACGGGTGTCACAGGCAAAATAATCCCATGGCGGGGGGGTTGGAACTGGATGATCTTTAAGGTCCCTTCCAACCCAAACCATTCCATGATTCTATGATTCTATAAATCCCAGGGCTTTAGCATGAGTTCACTCAGCTCACGCCCCACGGCTCTGGCCTGGATCTGTTGGAGCAGCGGGAACAGGCTGTTGGTTGAAGCCAGACTACTCCACCATCGCCACACTCCTTCTAGGAAAAACAGTGGGTTTAATAACCCTGACAGTGTCTTTGAGTTGTTACCGGAGCCAGGTCCATCTAGTAAGACATTCCCAATGTTTACACTCAGTTTCTTCCCAACCACACCCCTGCGAGGTCCGAATTCGAGATGCCTTGGCTACAGGCTCGTGACTCCCGGCTTAATCTGGTCACAGGTGCCTATGACAAGTCTCGCTGGGGGCTTTCACAGAAAACTGCATCGACTTAATAGACTCAACTTCAGCTCCTGAAGGCACACTCCTCCTGAGACCGTGCAAAGACCGTCTACAAAACGCAGAGAAGACAAGCCCAGACGCTAAAGCAGTAGAACAAATACGTAGCAAGAGACGCGCTGGCCATGCCCCAAACACTCTAGAAGCGGTTAAATAAATTGGAAGCATTAGAAGAATAGTGATGCAAGTTGGTCCAAGTAATAGGATTCTGTATGTAAATTCCAAACAGGAAAAAAGAAGCAGAGAAAGGAGAACGACACAGGGAAATTTAGACTTTAACTACCTGAGAAATGATACGTTCCCCATCTTGATACACTTTCTCCCCTATTACATCCACTATCTTCATCCGCTCGGATGCCTGGAACGAAGAGGAAAGTTACCCATAAGCATTTGTCACAGTACCCGTCTGGTAAACGCCGCAGCCCTGAAATGAAGAGGTGTTTGCTTGACACAAACACGCAGCACCTGGCTCTGAAAAATACAGCCCCGACAATGACAGGGTCACTGGGCACTGCAGCCCGCAAGGCTGCCATAAGCAACAGGGAAAGAACTTGCCTACGGCCCCATCCATGTGCTCTTCTTACCCTGGAGTTAACAAAGAACCAATTGGGCTGGTTTAGATGGAAGAGGGGAAAAAATAAATCGCTTCCTCTAAGATTCAGTTGAAATTTGAAGAAACAGCTCAGGAAAGTGTCACAAACTTCCTAAGAACAAACCTCCATCAGAAACCTCAGCAGCACATTTTCAAAGTATTTCCAACACCAGATACTTGAATATGTGGGGGGGCTTTGTGTCCCAGATCACATTCCCAGGGAGGAGAGAAGGGGACACCAACAGGAAACGGGCTCTGTGTCATCAGCAGGCACTGCAACAGGCTGCCCAGCGCCGAGGGCAGGAGGGACTGATCTGACCCGCAGTGAAACAGCCCGAGTCTCACAGGCAGGAAGGAAAAACCACAGCTAAACTTATCATCATTACTGTTAAGCTTATTAAGTTTATTATTGTTACGTTTATTAAGTTTATATTTAAGTTTATAATTATTATTAACAGTTAAGTTAGTTTTAAAGGGGTAACGGGTTTAATTGGAAAGAGGGAGATGGAGATGGGACATCAGGAAGGAATTCTTCCCGGAGAGGGTGGGGAGCACTGGGACAGGCTGCCCAGAGAAGCTGTGGATGCCCCATCCCTGGAAGTGTCCAAGGCCAGGCTGGATGAGGCTTGGAGCAAACTGGGGAAGGTGTCTCTGCCCATGGCAGGGGGGGGGACTGGGGAGGCGTTAAGGCCCCTTCCAACCCAAACCATTCCATGGTTCTGTGATCTCCAGTGTGCCCCACTGCCCACCTAGAACACCACAAAACCACTGAAGTGTGTCAGAGCAGTGTAAAACACATTAAGAAAGGAAGGGAGTCCTACAGTTTGGAGAGGATTCGACTGTGATCCGCTCACTGCACAACTGCACCTCAGCGTGCCCGTCGGAGAAACCTGATCCACACGATTCAGCTGCACTGTCACACCCAGAGCCATCCAGCGAGTTGTTTCTAACTTTAAGCATTTATGGCTCATTTTTGTGCGCAAAGTCACATCGATGGAACTCGTTGAAGCCAGGCACCGAGGGAGAAGGTGTTGTGCAGTTCACCCAGCCCACAGCGACCAAGAGACGTCCAGAGCAGCGTGTAGGAGAGGCTGCTATTCGCACCCAACGGTACTTGGCAATTTTGTCATCATCTCTCAGACGGATCAAAAGCCCTTCTCAAAAACTAGTGATTAATGCTGAGAAATATTCGTATGATGAGAAAAACACAGAAAAGCAAAGTTTTGGTGCAAGGCAAAGCCAGACACGTACCAATTAAAAAGCAGTTTGGGGTGGCCCCAAGAGCCCTCTGAAGATACAGGCCGGATCAGCTGCGCAGAAGTGACAATTTAGACATTGTTCCTGCAGTCATGCTCATCACCATGACATCTGCCTGCTCATTTTCTTCCCAGGTGGCAGTGCTTCCCTTTAGCCTATTCTTAGTTGACCCCCTGAGTACCAGGTAAAGCAGGACCTAATCCAGGCACTCCTTTGTCTCAAAACCGTTCACGGCCGCTAATGGCCAAATAGCCCAGTTACGGTATCACACCCTCAGAGGGCACCACAGCCCTGGGTTCCAACTTCCACTTTAATACCCGTTCTCTGACATATTTACAGATGATTTTTGTTTTGTGGGGTTTTTTAAGCACAGACTGAGATGAACATCAGCAAATCGCTGCGAACAAAGGACAGGCAAACAGTGTTCAACTCCAATGATGCAAGTTAAGTTGGACAATAAACACCTTAGAATTTCATTCACTCTGCAAATTTTCATTCTAAGCAAAAACGACACAGATTCCTGATCCAGCAGAAACATCTAATGCCAATGCAAGAACCGGGTGCGGATGCCTGAGAGGCTTTACCTCCAAGGATTTAAGAAGGGGGACAGACTCAATAAATAACTCGTACGTCTTCCTCTTCTTTGCGTTGTTTTTCAAGATAATTCTTCTGAACGTCACTCGATCCTGCAAGAAACAGCACAAAGAAATACGTTACTCCTCCTGACCGGGGTGCTCCCTGTTGGAAGAACCGGCAAGCAGGATCTGGTGGTGGCAACCAACAGCGGGTGCCAGAAGCCGGCGGCTAAAACCACACCACATCCATCACAACGGCCGTGGCACCGGCTCAGGTGAGAGAACTTGTTGCAATAACAAAGTGGAAAACAGGGAGCTGGCAGACCTGGTCCTACGCAGATAAGCACCTGAGAATTCCATTTTTAGTCCATCCTGCACTGTTTTTCTGGGCTGAGGCTTTGGGGACGTTTGGCTGCTCGTTAACACATCTTTCACGCTGCCACACAACGAAGTTGTTGTGCTCTTCCCATTGAAACCACTGGAATTCGGCATTTCCAACACTTATTTGTCAAGACAGCTGCAGAATTAAGTCTGGACTCTTCTCTCCTTGAGTCACAGACGTCAGAAGTAAGCGGGAGACGTATCCCGGGCTCAAGCAGACCAGGAACAGAGCCCAAACAGCCACAGGCTTGAGTCCCTCCTCCAGCTTCCAGGGTGCGAGAGGCAGCTTTCCGCAGCGACCGCTTCCTAACTGCCGGCTGTCCCCGCGTACCGTAAGCGCCTTGCTGACGGCAAAATGGTTCGGGTTGGTTTTGAAGCCCAGATTTTGGACACGATCCCCTCGCCGGCGGCAGCCAGGGCGCGC